TAAAACTGTGTTTCAAGACAAAACAATGGCAATTTGAAAAACTAGAAAATGTATATACAATCACATAAGAAGTATTATTAAGCATTGTGATCTTTTTATCTTGATTTTGATTTTCTGATTATGATCTTTCCTCTATTGCTTAGTCCTCTTCTTCAATTAATTGTGTTATAAATAGTATTTATTTAAAATTATTATTATTTATCTCTTTATGTGCATAGGACGTCGTGTATTTATTTTGTAACCGTTTCACTTAATCTTATGCCTTAAGTAAATTAAGCCAATTGTCAAACCGGGTTGCGCGGAAAGCTACTGCGCGACCTAAAGATATACCGCGAACGCTGACGACCATTATGATTGTCTACAAGCTTCTTCCATCTTATTCTGTTAGGGGCAATGACTTTTATCTCCGACTAGCTCTTCCTTATCGCTTTTATTTCTTTGTTGACCATTCTTCTCTAAGTTATGGCACGTCTTCCTCTACTCCCTACATGGTCATGCGAGTTATATTCTGTGGAGCTTTTCTCAGAGTATGATCAATCTATCTCTTTTCGTCGACGGATTTCTGTACCGATTTCTTCTTGCTTGGATACGTGCAAGAGTTCTTCGTTTGTTAGCGTATTTGACCAGTATAGTCTCATTGCATTTGATTGTAGAAATGATCTTTTTCGTTGTCATTTGCCGCCTTCGTAGGTGAGTAATATTGAATGATTGTTACATTGTGATTTTTGACTCGAAAGCGATTATTTGGTCGGAGACTGAGCTCTATTCTGTTAGTCTTTTTTATTTCAGTGGTCAATTCCTACTCCATTGATATGAGCGGATGAATTGCCCGAGAATATCATATAGTAATTGTCTGGCATTATATAGTAATTGTCTGGCATTATATAGTAATTGTCTGGCGTTGTTATATCGCCGCTGTCTTTCCACTGCACTTCGCTAAGGCCCAGGATCTCAATTTTATAGTGAGTCATTTTTTTGGCTAGTTGTGCCTGCGTCAATGTTCCAGGTACCAATTTCTATTCGTATACCTTTTCGATAGCCAAGGGTTGTTGTCAATGGATCCGTCCGATATCCGAGGCTCATATTTATTTCTCGAATCATGTTTGTTTCTTCGAATTTATGAATGATTGGTCCACAGAATTCTATTTGGTCGTCAGAGTTGTGCTGTCGGTCAGCCGAAGATGGGAATCGGTTTTTATTTTTATTTTATTTAGGTTGAGTTCTAGGTGGATTTGAACTTGGATTTTTAGCTTAGGAAGCAGGTATATTGTTACGTATGCCACGACCGCTACTGCATTTATTTAAAATAACTATTATTAAATAAATATTATTATTCATTAATATAACTATAGATATAGCTAAAGTCGTGTCCATGTCGTCCCTCTTTATCACTTTTGCATCTAGCAGCGGAAGAGAACCACAAAAATGTGCACATTACCTATGCGAATAAAGGTACAGTTAAAACACGTCCATAACCACTCTCAGACTTTTCTCTGGTTTCCTATATTACCGATAGATAGTCCTTGCGAACCCAACAGATAACCTGAATCAAATTTGACTTCACCTTAGACTTCACTTAACTTTTATACATTAATAAGACAAGATAAGGAAAAATATTGTTAACGAAATTATGTTTCACACAGGGAATAAGAGGATAATAATAATTTTTGAAGAGGTACAAATAAATAAGACCATGATGATGTCACTCAAAATTCTGTAAATAACAAAATAAATTTAAATGTGCAAAATAGTCAGTTTAGTAACAATAACAAGGACATAAAAAAGATTTTTTCGAAAATTCAAAATTGTAAATTTTCAAGATGACGATCCCCTGATAACAAACTAAAATAATAACGCTATTTGATAGCCCTATGTTAATTGTAAACTATCACGTTTAAATTTTCTTGATACGACCAATAGTTTTCGAAATAATTCCATTTGTTTATAATTTTACAACTTTTTTCTCAGCAACTCTCCTTCTACTCCTCTCTTCTACTAATCACCTGTATTAGTAAATATCAATCCGACGCTCCGTTTTTGAGATATTTACAATCATTTATTGCAAAAGGCAATCAATCAATAAACTATATTATTATAAAATAAATTATAAACAATAAAATTTCAATTGTTATAAATATTTAACGGTAAATTTTTATTAACAAATAACCATAGTAAATAATGTCAATTTACCCCCTCTTTCGACCTAATATAAAAATCTTGTGAAAAAACGAGAAATAAGGAAAGGAATAAGGAAAACTGCTCTTATGGAAGAACAGCATTAAGCGATGACGCCATCATCGACATGCACGAATAGACTCATACTTTGTTCTATGTGTGCTTAAAAAGATACCACCTGTAAAATGTAACACGCGTACCATCTATTACAATATAGTATATTTTACGGATATCCTATATTCGTGTCCGCCATAAATTATAAGATTTATGGAAACTTATGTAATCTTAGGACCGCAGCACACACTTCTGCATAAAACGCATAAAAAAATGAACCAATCACTTTCCTCGTAATGGAAATGAAAGATTCTAATTGGTTTTTCTTATGCGTTATGCATTATGCCTTATGCAAAAATGTGTGTTGTGGCCCTTACGGATGCAGTAAGCATATAAGCACTCGGAAAACTAAATCCTACTAAATAAATATGTGAAATTAAAACGCAAGTTATTTAATGTAAGGATTTTATTAGAATTCAATAGAAACATTTATTCCTGATTTTAGGAAACTAAAACAAAATCCGTAATTTCAAGAATAAGGAAAATGTAACATTAATTCTTATACTCATTGTGTTCGTTAGACAATTTTAAGTATAATAATATACATTTATATAATATACATTTCTTTGTGTACTACAGAAAATTGCACAACGTTAAACATACAGATATATATATATATATATATATATATATATATATATA